TACAAGGATGCCAAGACTATTCAATGGGGGAAAGAATAGTCTTCTTAACAAATAGTTCTGGGACAACCAAATATCCACATGCAAAAGAATAAGTTGGACCCCTATATGCACTATATACAAAATTCAACTTAAAATGGATAAAACTTAAATGTAAAGCCTTTCTTCTATAAAAGTTGTAGAAGAAAATATAGGAGTAAATCCTCCTAACCTTGGATTAAGCAATGTTTTTTTTTAAACATGACACGAAAGCACAAGCAATGAAAAAAATAAATAAATAAATTGGACTTAAGTCATATTGAAACCTGTGCTTCAAAAGGCACAGGGACACATCAATAAAGTGAAAAGAACACATCAATAAAATGAAAAGACAATCCATGGAATCCATGAAAAGGGGGAAAACATTTGCAAATTATTATCTGACAGGGACTTGTATCTAAAATATATAAAGAATTCTTATATAGCAATAATTAAAATATATGTAACCCAATTAAAAAATGGGCAAAAGACTTGAATAGACATTTCTATGAAGAAGATATACAAATGGCCAATAAGGACATGAAAAGATGCTCAACATTATTAGCCATTTGGGAAATGCATATCAAAACTACAGTGAGATGCCACTTCATATCCACTAAAAATGTTTATAATTAGAAAAATGACAATAATGAGTATGGGCAAAGATATGGAGAAATTGGAATTATACACTACTGGTGGGAATGTAAAATGGTGCAGGTCTTTTGGAAAACAGTCTGGCAGCTTATCAAAAGATTAAACATGGAGTTACCATATGACCTAGCAATTCTATTCCTAGGTATACACCCAGGAAAACTAAGAATATATGTCCACAAAAAAAACCCCACAAAGACAAACAAGCAAACGAAAATAACTTGGACATGAATGTTCATAGCAGCATTATTTCAAATAGTGAAAAAGTATAAACTACCCAAATGATGAACAGATAAATAAAATACGGCATAATCCATATAGTAGAGTATTCTTTGGCAATGAAAAGGAATGATGTATTCACACATACTACAACATGTATGAACCTTGAAAACATTATGCTGAGTAAAAGGAGTCAGTCACAAAAGACCACATATTATTATATGATTCCATTTCTATGAAATGTCCAGAATAGGCAAATTCATAGAGACAGAAAGTAGATTATTGGTTACCTGGAGCAGAGAGGATTGGGGGAAATGGGAAATGACTTTTAATGGGTATGGGGTTTTTTTTTTTCAGTGATGAAAATGTTCTAAAATTGATTGTGGTGGTGGTTTTATAACTGTGAATATACTAAAAACCACTGAAAGTGAAAACCACTTTACACAGGTAAAGTATATAGTATATGGATTATATCTCAATAAAACTGTTATTTTAAATATCCTGCTTTATTCCTCAAAGGACTTTTGTAAATACAGATCAATTATAATTTCCAAAGTGTCTTGGGATTTTTATCACAAAGCTGAAGTGTTACTCAGATTCCCTTGATTTTTTCTATAAAGCCACCTGTGGAGCAGCAGGGTTACCTGAACAAAAGGATCAGCCCTTCATAATGAATGGGGTTAGTCAATGTAAACTTCAGTGTACTATTTTCTCCCCTTGGTACCTTCCTGTTTGAATTCTCTATTGATGGTGCTGCTTCTCCATCCCTCTCAGGCTTTGAGCTCTCCTGCCTCACTCCTCTATCTAACCCATCCCCTAAGCGATCACAACATTCATTCACACTGAGGTGTGAGTGACTGATAACAAGTTCACTGTTACTCATAACAAGTGGGTTGCTTCTTAAAAGAGATCCAGATCTGCTACTAAGAAGATGTCTTAACAGAGAAATCCTTGGCATGAGTTAGCAGCAATGGGCGCTTTAAGTCATGTCCTCCAATAGCTACCTCTTTCTGCTGCGCCAGCCCTTTGGCCATACAAATATCCAGTAAGGCTGGGCCTCATCTAAGGAAGAAAAGCCATAGATGGGAGGAGCTGGTTATCTGATATCTCTTTAGTGCAGGTGATATGAAAGCCCCTTGGGGAGTTGTGTCCTCTCCTAGGCCCTGTTTGAGCAATCCTTGGGTGTCCTGCACTAGTAGGAGGCCTAGTTTTGAATCCCAGTCTGCATTTACTAGCTTTGTGACTCAGGGGTTTATAAGCTCTCTGACATTCAGCTTCTTCATCTGTAGCTGAATGGGGATAAGATTACTGCAGCAGCTGCTGTTGATGCTGGAGCCATGTCCTCTCAGCCCACCTCTGGGTTTGCCTCAGCCACAGCGGACAATTCCCACACAGACTGTACCTGTGTCTCCTCGGCCAGACAGTTTTGC